CAAATATAGTTGCCCTGGAACACACATATTCCAACCTGGTGTTGCAGTGGCCCATGCCGCGGGCAACCGGGGTTGTATAGATGAAGGCATCCTTGTTTTTGCACAAGGCGCAACAAAACCATCATGTACTGCGCATTGGATTTGCCAGCCGTGACCATTTGCCTCCTAAATCAAAAGCCAGAATCAATCAAACCTTTCGCAAATGAAAGCATATCTGAAGATTACTTACTTGCTGGAGGCTTGGGGGCCAAAAAGGCAACTTGTCAGACTCCAATTCAGCTTCCCCCCTATTGGTGGATTGGATTGGTGTTTTGGTGGTTTATCAGGGGTTTCCCATTTACTCTCCGCAGGAAGCAGTCACCTGATCAATGTCAAGCAATGAAAAACACACACAACAAGCTGGCTTGAAACAACTATAGTCTCTTCTTGACGAACACAGCAAACAAGGAGCTAACATAGGAAGCCTGGCCAAAAGCCAAATCTGAGTTTCCAGTAGACTGTCCTGCTGGCTTCTTGCTTGGGTGCAACCTCGCTGGGGCGCCCCGCTTTAGCGACCTGGCAGCTGGAAAATGGGTGGACGTGGACCCCATGCAAGATTGGGTCCGTTTGGCGCTCCCTTGAGATCCCAAATGTAATTACATATTCTCAAAAGACACCGACCCCAACTCTGGGGGGGGGGGCATACCCTTGAAAGATATAGTGGCCATACACCAGATCAAATAATGTTCTGAGAATGGCTGTTCGGAAACGACTTCAAACAATACTTTGTCTGGGCGGCCTTTGAAACCAGGTTTGCCCGACGGCATATCAACATACAAAGCCTTTGCAAGGCAAAGCACATGGGTGCTTGTCGAATTGTGGACTCCTTGTCGAGCCCGTTGTTCAGTAAGTTGCAGGTTGTTTACGGGGAATCCAGCGACTGAAGTGCCCCCTGGCAACACCAGCAGTGGGGAAATGGCCAACCCATTTGAAGCCAGGCAGGTGCCCTTCCTCCAACATGGAAGGTACCTGGAAGATCATTTTGTGAGGTTGTCTACATGTCGGGTACTTCTACTTTTTCAGGAGTAAATACCACACCCAGCAGGTGCCCATCCTCCCAGGTACCACTGGGACCTGTTGTGAGGTGCCATGGCAACGAGAGGAGGTGCCACCTACCCGGCAAACCGACTGACCCATCGCCTCCCGGGCTTGAGCTCAGCACCTGGAGCTCCGACTCGAGCTTCGGACTGAGGTCCAAAGCTTTTTTTTGTGCAAAAATGAAATGCATAAAGGACAGAAGAAAAAAAAGAAGAAAAACAACTTCATAAAGGAGTCTTGGGCTGGATGGAAAGCTTCAGTTTGAGGCTTCGAGTGAAAGGGCTTCCCCCTACTGCGGATGGTGGCGAAATCCATAAATCGCACCACTTGGAAAGCCTGGAAACCATGCTATTGGTATTCACACAGAGGAAGCAAATCATTCCAGGGTTTCTGAATGCTAGTGCAGGATTTCGTCCATCCACAGTAGGTAACCACAAAGGCCACTTGTTTAAGGTATATTGTACTTGATTTTCTATTCCTGGGGGAGGGGTGGAGTCAGAAGTCATCAAGACCTGGCTGTACCGAATGCAAGCTAAAGAATCAAAAGGGATACAGTTTCCGCCTGCACGGTTGCAACTGCGCCTACCTTCACTTTCCCCGAGTTGTGGCTCTGTCCAAGCAGTTGGAAGCCAAATGCTGACCCCGGGACTTGCAGACCTTGCGGAATGGTGTGGTTCCCCAAAGAGTGACGGATTCCCTCCAAGGTGGCGGCCCCTCTATCATTCAACCAGGGGCTTATTAATCCTGGGTCGTCATTGCGAGGGGCTGGCTTGTTGCTGTCGCTCAATGAACTTGCTTTCTCTCAAGTGAACTTTGAGGAACCCGCTTGTATGGTTCTCCCCGGTTGGTCTGATTGCAGAAGGATCTCGCAGGCCCATTTACCGTGTCCCCCACAAAAGGGACCATGATACAACAAATGAAATTCCCGAATCACCTCTCAAGTCCCTCAAGTCCAGTTTTCGGTCGGAATAGCCCAATAAACTCAAGGGATGACGCAGGCCGCGACCACAAACCTTGCAATATGTGGAAACCAACGTGCGACACCCTAAGCAAAAATACGCAGGAACCCTTCCAAGATGTCTCCTTCTTGGTTTCTCCGGGAAAAAAAAAGTATCCACGAACAGGGGCCCCCTATTTTGAGATGTATCCACAAGGGTATGAGTTATAATGGGGGACCTTACATGGGGAGTGATTTCCATCAAGAGTATTTAGAGTATCCCTCATGAAAGGTTCAAGCCAAATTAAATGGGTGTGTGTCAAAATAGGCGGCCTGAATACACCGTTGCTTTTTGTTGCTTGGTTCTTCAAGCCAAGGGCAAACGCATGCCCTCAACAAGCATATACCCCACCCCCCAAATGCCTAGGCCCTCCAGTAGAGAGCTTAGACTTAGGGTACCCTTTTTCTGCAGTCCCTCCCAACCACAAAAGGGGTTAAACAGTTTTTACCTAGCTGGGAAACCTAGATGCGGTGAACAGAAACCGTCCCGGCGAAGCGCCAGCTGCTCCGAAGGCGCTTTGCCCGGTTTGCACGGCGCGCTTGGCGGGCCCAAGAACCAGGCGAGGGAGGAAGATCTCCTGGATCGTGTCCTGAAAGCGGTGCTCCTCCATTTCCTTTTTTGTCCCCTGGAAAAAACAAAAAACATTTCATGGCATTAAAAGGGAGAAGCAAAAGAAAGCCAAGCATTTTATGGGTTTCTTCCATTTGCTTTAGCCCCCCCGGAAAAAAAAAGAAAAGAACAAGGAAAACATATTTCCAGTAGTGAAATCGTTTCCCTTCAAAACCAGCGGGGGAAAATCAAACATATTCTTAACCAAACGGAAGTGCCAGGTCTTCCAGTAAAGAGCTAGAATAAGTAGGTACCCACTCTATTCAGGACGTCTATTTCAGTACGGGAACCCTCCCCCCAAGAAGAGTAAACGGGCACTACTGGGAGACCTAGCGGACAAACTCCTGCATCACTTAGTCACTTGGGGTGGACCCTTTGAAACACTAGCATGCAACCAAGCATTGAATTGGCACACACAAACACACACACACACACACACACACACACACACACACACACACACACACACACACACACACACACACACACACACACACACACACACACACACACACACACACACACACACACACACACACACACACACACACACACACACACACACACACACACACACACACACACACACACACACACACACACACACACACACACACACACACACACACACACACACACACACACACACACACACACACACACACACACACACACACACACACACACACACACACACACACACACACACACACACACACACACACACACACACACACACACACACACACACACACACACACACACACACACACACACACACACACACACACACACACACACACACACACACACACACACACACACACACACACACACACACACTCACACACTCACACACTCACACACTCACACACTCACACACTCACACACTCACACACACACACACACACCAAACCCTATGACATGGCAACCAGGGTTTCATGCGTCTTGACAATCGTTTGCTTAAGCGAAGCCACCGCAGCGATTCCAAAGAAGGATTTGGCTGTGGCTCAAAAAAGCGATACCAAAATGGCGCCTTGGTAAATGGAACCCAAGACTAGAACACGCGTAACCCCAGGTCTTTAACTTTGAGCCATAGCCATTTTGCGCTGCCACTGAAGCTGAGAGCTCTTGAGACATCCACAAGTCGCGGCTTTCGTCTCGCCTCGGTTCGGAGCTCTGCCTGGCTTCGCTTCATCACTTTATTGGGGCCGAAAAAGAACGCATGGCGTTCTAAGCGAGGAGCAAGACCACTTCTCACTTGAGTAGATTGGCCTAAAAACGTCTCGCCGCTGCGGTCCAAACACAAAAAGGATAAGGTCCAGGAACTGAGAGAGTGAAATTTACCTTGTTTACCCTCAGATCTCCCGCTAAAAGTGACTCACTTTTAGTAGGTTAAATGGACACCCAAAAAGCTAAGGAACCAGATGGCTGGGAGCCGCCAAGTTACAGCTTGGGCTCAACACAAACGAAAAGCCAACGATTCCCAAAGGATCTAAGCAGCTCTCGGATCCCGGTCAACCTGCAGCTCCATCAAAACACCTGCCTTTGATTCAAACGGGCGATCTGGTCCTTGTCCATCAGATAGTCCCGCCCCCGCGAAGGAGCCTGGCTCTTTGCCAGTGGCGCCAATGCACTGGCGCTCAAAACCCCTGAGTTGAAGGCACTTTGGTCTGCTCCACTTGTTTGGAGCGACACATTGATGACCTGGACAAAGTTTGCGGTGCCTGATAGCAAAGCCTCGACTGACCACCAATCTGAATTGAGGGATCACGACAGGTGCCTTGATCAGGAGCTCGGTTATACTCACAAAGCTCGCTCGACGAGTGCGGGTAGGGCTGATTCACAAATTCAGGGTTGGCAACGTCAGCAGGGATGTTGCTCTAGGAAACTGTTTGGATGCGGTTTTTGTGGGTCCACCCCTGTAGGATGTTAAAAGAGTACTAGAAAAGAAAACTAGAAAATAACCTAGAGGTGGAAGAAAAGGTCAAATCCACAAAACGCGCAAATCCAAACCGTTTCCTAGAGTTGCTGGTAAATCTTTATCACCATCTTTTATGGCCTTGAGTCCGCCTGCGTGTTAGACCACACCGCCCCCAGAAATCCATGTACGGGTGGTTAGTGCTCTCGCCCTGCTGAGCGAATGAGTGGTATTTATGTGTGTGCGTGTGTTGTTGCTGGTCTGCTTGCGGTACTGAGGATCCCGCAATGCGTTACCACTACCCTATATACATGTTTCACCTTGCAATCCAAGCAGCTAGCTACACCAACTGGGCTTCCGGTAGTTTGCCAGTTGTCTTCATTTCTATCAAGTTTCACCAGGATCTTGCTTGGGGCGCATCTGGCATCTTGCCCAAGCCCTCGAAGATGAATACTCGATCCCCAACTCAAACAACTGACTGCAACAAAACAAAAACGGCTGGTCCCGACGGAAGCAGAAGGTATTGCGCGGAACAAAAGTGATTGAACAACACCTAAAACATATGAATGATCGTCAAGGCTTCACTCTCTCAGGGATCGTCATTTATTGCCTTCTAACATAGGTGTTGTTGTGAATCATCTATTTCGTTCTGGCATCATTGCTTTTCACTGTGAAATGCAAAGCGTATCCTAAACGTTAGCTAAAACACACTTTCCTGGGTCAGCCTGCAAGGGGCATCGTCCAATCAAGCCCAAAATCCTTTCATGTAAGCCATTGGCACGATGTCTTGCTGCCCGGGGGGGGGGGGCCTTCATGAACCACCGCACTCGGGAAACACAAACCCAATTGCACGTACCACCACAAGGTCGTATATAATCAGGTATCAATCTTTCACACTGCCCAGCATCCAAACGAACAACTTGGACCATGAAAGCTCAGGACCTTTGTTTGGAAAACTCGGTTCCAATTCCTGGACCGGTGGTGCTTCCCTACGCCAAATCAACATCCCTCTGAGCCTCGCGGCTGGGCGTCTGCCTGCCGAATGAGTTGGAAACACCGCCATGTCACCAAAAGCAAGCAGCCAGCCACGGCTCGCCATATTCCCAACATCGCCCCAAAGGAATACCTGGCCCAAAAGGCGCTGTTTCAAACCACCAAAAGGGAAATAGACAGCGACCTGGTACAAAAGTGATCAGGATCCCCCCGAAAATGGGAAGCCATCGCATTGATCAACTGGGGGTTTATAAATCTTGGGTTTTGGCAGTCCACGTCCTCCTCCAATTGAGCACACGCATCGCACTTTCCAAGTCTGATTGGAAAAGTGGGGAATTCTGATTGGAAAAGGGGAGGAGTCGACGGGGCAAACGTGCTTTAGGGGGCGTCAGAAAAAACTGCGGCGGCAGCAGATCAAAGATGGGGCCCCGGGGTCGCCTCCCCAACACCAAACAGATGCGATGTTGAAGGCACGAGCAACAAACTTGGGATGTGTTTGGGGACACTGATCTACATCCAATCCAAGGCTCGGTTCCCTTTTCCAGCCTCTACTTCACCCTTTCCTTCGTAGAGATGTGAGTCTTTCGTAGAATCCACACAATCCAAGTATGCCAACATTTCGCTCAGGCCAGAGCATTGCATTGAGTTTTCCACAAGTCTCAAAACAAATTCGGCCGGAACCTCCAAAAAATATGTGGCTTACCTTCGGTTTTTCCCTTTGGTTGCCCCACTTTAAAAAACGACACAACCAGTCCAAAAGGGGTCTCTCATCCCTCGCCTGACTCGCAAGCGCGGGGGCCGCTGCTTGCGCCGCAGCTCCGCCAGGCGCGCCTCAGGGCTGCCCGTACGTTTGATCCGCGAGAAGTGACTCACCTTGGGGTAAATACGGACACTGCCAGGCTAGAAAGGCGATAAATACCGAACCTACCAGGCTCAAAAGGCTAAAAGGCTAAAAAGGCTAAAAAGGCTAAAAGGGGACAGCTGGGAGGCTAAAAAGGCGAACTAAAGGGATCTAAAAAGCTCTCAGAGCCGGATGGCTGGGAGGCTCCAAGGGAAGAGAAACCAAACGGACAGCTACTTGTTCGCTTCGGCTTCTCTGAAAGCCGAGGGGAAAATTAGGAGAACCTCAACAGCAAAGCCATACTCAGAAGCCAAAAAAACACACCTTTAACGGGTTCTAACAAAACCGGTTCAGATGGTTGGCACCAAAGGACTTTTTTTTTTCTATCCACCTGAGCATTACCCCTACTGTGGATGGACGAAATCCTGCACCACCTAAGAAACCCTGGAATGATGCTTCCCTAGTAAATGCCAATAAACAATGGTGTCCCATGGTTTCCAAGTGGTGCAGGCTTTTGTCCATGCACAGTATGCTTGGTAAGACCTTGCTAGTTTAAAGCTTCACCACGCGTACCGGAAAACCTGGGCCTGCGAGAGGCTGATGTTCAACGGTTTGCGAGCTTCCTTGATTGTGCACAAGGTTTTCTCCCTGGGAAACGGCTTAGTGATAGCCCCCTCCCCCCCAAAGGAATGATGGCTGTATTTCGCCCTGGGATGCACCCACTGACAGATTGCCCCCTATCTGGAACAGTTTGGGACGCGACGCCAGGTTCCAAATGCAGAAACTCTCAGGTGTTGACGCTGGATTTATTCCAGGCCTCAGGGGAAATGAAACAAATACATCCACACGATCATCCTCCAAAGCGAGTGCTGCAACATATTATGCAGCCCCCGATTTTCCACCAGCCCGCGATCCTTATAGATGCAAACCCTGGAAGGCACATCCTGTTGGGGTCCCCTCTCCGCACAATCTAGCAAAACATGTAACCACTCCCAAACCATTCCTGGGAACACAACACAAACATTTGGCAACCGATTGAGATCAATTCACAACATTTATCTTCCATGCACAGAATCGTTAAACCTGGTCAACGTTTAATGTTGACCCAATATTAACCAACCCCAGTTTTGACGCGGCTGGGGCATCCAAAAAATTGTCAAAAGATCAGGGTTGGCAACCGGTCGAAAAGAACAGCAATGAACAGGCGCAGCACGACACGTACATGAACAAAGCAACGCAACAGCATATAATGCATTGAATGCGGAAAAAAAAAAAAAAAAAAAAAAAAAAACGAAACAAGCCCAAAGGACCTGCTTTTTTGTTAAAGCCATTCTTTTGGGGCCCCTGGACTATGGACACAGCTCCTCGCCTCTCGAAAGTCATCCTGCGGCGGCAGCCGCGCGCCCCAGGCCCGGCTCTCTGCAGGCCTGGAGCGCGCGAGCGTAGCGCACATCGACGCTCCGACGGCGCGAGCCGATCGAAGGCCGGAGAAAGCCGACGGGAGGCAAATCTGGATCTGGAGAGGACATTCTTTTTACTGGAGGTCTACGTAAAAGAAGCAGGAAGAACAGGTGGTTTTTTTACGGAACCCCTGTAAACGGTTTGGATGCCCAACCCCCCACAACTGCGAGGGCCAACACTGTACTTGTTGTGTTTTTTTTTGGGGGGTCTATGATAGATATTGGCGGGTCTGACATCACTTTGTACATGTCCGTTGCGGTCATCATGTCTGGATGCGGATTTTATACGGATCCCACCGTTCTCAGTGAACATCTATGTTTCCAAAGGAAACTGTACAGGAAACCAGCTTCTAATCATTGACTGGGCTCAACCTCAAAAAAATCCTCTCGTACTTCTGGCATAGAGGAGCCAGCCCCCAGAGCAACTGTGACCATTTGACATGTTCCTTTTAAATCAAAGGACCCGGAATGACTCCTTCCATTGGCTTAAGCCCCTACAAAAAATACAGTAGTGATAGATTCCCTTTAAAACCAAGAGGGACAAATAAAACATATTCTTGAGCAAGACCCAGGCCAGGCATCGCAAATCCTTGCCTCGACTTCAGGCGCACCGGTGCCGGAGACTCCTGATATGACAGAATGAGCTCCGAGAGGCCCTTCAAAAAAAAACCTGCAAGCCTTGCCAGCGGCTCCAAAATCTGAATTGGATCCCCAAGGACCTGGTGATCTCGTTCCACCAGGCCAGCTTGCCATAGGCAGAGATATCTGCTTTGGCTCACCGGGCCCCTGCTAATTGGGTGCAAGGGGCCAGCTGCTTGTATCCGCAGCTGCACAGCTTTCTTTGATTCAACAAGAATTCTGGCATCCCAAGAGGAGCTGCCTGCATCAAGTGTGCGTGCACGTCCAAAATAGAGAACCTTTGGTTGCTTGAGACGGAACAAACGGACCACGGCTCTCTGTAGTCCCCGGCTTCAAAAAAAACACCCATTTCAGGGGTCCATTTGCCCTACCTGGTGCCCAAATGCTCACGGAACAAACCGACTTGCTGTTGCTGTAGCAGGGACGTTCCCCCGTTGATCGTTCCCCCAGTGCCAACTACCCAGGAATTCACCAAATCCTCTCCCACACCCATCCCCAAAACGGAGGTGTCCATGCCAAAAGCGCCTGATACTGTGGATGGACAAAATCCTGCACCACTTGAAAACCCAGGGGTTCCATTGTTTATTGGTATTTACATGAAAAACATCATTCCAGGGTTTGTTAGGTGGTGCCTAAGAGGATTTCGTCCATCCACAGTATCGCCGCCTGTCACGTCCATGTTGCCGTCCTTCGGCGGCGGGCTACTTTTCGGTGACATTCGCGCGGGCGGCGAAGTTCTGGGTGAGCCCGGTGGCGAATACCTTGGGTGTGTGTGTGTGTGTATGCGCGTGTATGCCGGCGGGTGTATGTGGGCGGGTGTATGTGGGTGTGGGTGCGGAAGCAACAAAAAGGGAGGGGGGGGGGGGGGGGAAACGAGACCGACAAGCAGCCAAACAAACAAATGACCGAACGACGGAGCAAACAAAAAAATGAAAGTATAAGATAACAAATGAAACAACCAACCAACAAATAAACTAAACCAGCAAAACAAATAAAACCACCAAGCAAGCATGCAAGCATGCAAGCATGCAAGCAAACATGCAAGCATGCAAGCAAGCCAGCCAGCCAGCCAGCAAGCAAGCAAAGAAGCAAACAAACAGACAAACGCAATCGACAAAGACACATTTCAACACAAACGAAGAAACACACAAACTCACAACCACAAACAAACAAACAAACAAACAAACAGACAAGCAAGCAAACAAACAAGCAAGCAAGCAAACAAACAAGCAAGCAAGCAAGCAAACAAACAATCACACAAACAATCAAACAAACAAACAAACAAACAAACAAACAAACAAACAAACAAACACCAATCTCACAACCACACGAAACCACACAAACAAAGAAACATACACACAAAGAAAAACTAAAGGAAGGAGGAAATAACGACAGAAAGAAAATGGAAGATAAGTGTCCTAAGAGTTGTCGCACCCTTCCTGCAATTCCTGCAAGGGGTCCATTGGGGCCGGGGAGTTGCCACAGCCTTGAATCGGGGTCGATTCAGACCCAGGGCTCCGTCCGATTTGCCGATCCCACAAATTGTCCAGTGAGGCATGTGAAACTCTCTTGGGCACGGGCTTCCCTGCACATCGAGACGCTCAAAACCATGCAAGGGTATCTGGTAACTGGGCTGTCCGTTTTCAGATCCCCCGCTAAAAGTGACTCACTTTCAGTGGGTTACATGGACATACCACTAAACACTAAAAGGCTAAAATGCTAAGGAACCGGACTGGGAGCCACCAACTGGGCAAGGCGTGCTTGAGCTTTCGCCTTCGGGATTTGGAACTGACGCTGACGCTTCGCGCCGGGCCACACCTGCGGCTCCTGCTTTTCGTGCTCCGCGATTTGCTCCTGCTCTCGTTGGACCCACACTTGATCCCAGCTTGAGATGAAATGAGTCGCTCTTCTTTCCTCCCTGAGCAAAGGGTCCACTGTAGGGGTACCTTCCCCATGGATCCTTCTTTTCAGGAAACCATCAAAAACGCAGGGGAAACAGTCGGCTTTTGAAAAGAACCATGGTTGAAAAGACTGGACAAGGAATCCCCTAGAACTGCAACCTTTGCCAGGTTGAATGGTAAAATATTTCTAAGAAATGTAAGGGGCTACGGTTACACCGAAGACCGGCCATGTCAAGAGGAGACCGACTTTGCCCATCGAACGCTGAACACCCAATCCTCATCACAGCAAACTATCTAAACTTCCTGGTTCTCAGCAAGGAGTGACCCGCATGAGCCATCCTGCAGCTTCCCTAGCTTCATTCCAAAAGTACGACTGAGAACCAGCAATGCTATTGCGGGCCGCTTTGACACATTTCCGATTCAAAGCCATAGCGAGGGGAGTCAGCCACTTCGAGTTGCTGCAGTGGCTCCGCTTGGCCAGCATGGGTCGCAAAACGACTCCGACGTCGTCCTTCCGCCGCCGAGTGATTGGTTTTGTCTCGATCTGCATCGCCTCCAACAGTGCGCCGACTCGAAGACTTCGAGTCGACGGAAAAAAAAAGCGGCACAGGGGACCTAAAGTGGTCCGTTTGCGACCTTTTGGGTTCCATCTTCATGCGTTAAAGCCTCAATCAGCAGGGGTTTTGGTATGGTTTTGTACTTAGATTCCCTTCAATGAGAAAAGCAGTGTTTGTTGGGTTCCTCAAAAACACCAACACCCAACCCAGCCTTGGAAGTACCTGGGGCAACGGGACCCAAACTTCCCAAAACCATAGGCTCGGCCCCTATTCTCCTTTGAATGGAACAAGTGCATGGTCGCACACCGCGCGGCATACGCCCAAGAGCAAACGCACTTCGGGGCCGGACATTTTCGCAGGGCCATGCTGACAGGCGCCTAAGGGCTCAGCGACTTGAAACGTGGGCCTTTGATTGGTTGGGGTCCACAACGCCCTTTTTGCCATATCCCAACCCCTCAGAGATTCCATGAACTGCCTCATTCTCTCCGTGAATCCTTCTTTTTCAGAGAACCATGAAAGAAGCTGAAACCATTAAAAAATCACAATGGAACCGGAACCAACCCCAGCCAAGAGGCTGAACATGTTGCCGGTCTGTTGAGGCCCGGTTTTGGAGGACCAAAAGAGAACCCCATCCATCTTGTGGCCTGTTTAGTTAGCACTCCCACATCAGTTTTCTAGGTTTTGAGAAGCGGAAGTTTGTTTTTGATGGCACGGCCAGCACGTTTTAGGTTTGTTGGCTTGGAAGAAAAAACAAAAGGAGGAACAAAAAACAGGGTGTTTCTATTCTGGACGTTTTGCCGCAAACTGGATCTCTGACCTCTGCGCCCTTTTTCAGGCGCCTCCAGGGCTTGGCGCAACTTCTCCTGCAACTCGTAGAGCGGCGTGTCCTCCGCCAGCAGCCGCGTCAACACCATGCCTCTGGGCTCCGAGCTTCGGCGGTTTCGACGCCGGCAGCTTTCGTCGGACTGGACGCGGGGATGAGTGTTTGGTTCGCCTGAGGGGGCAGTTTTTGCCCAGTTGAGATCGCCTGAGGGGGCAGCTTTTGCCCAGTTGAGACGATTCCCCGTAGAGTTTGGGGGGCAGCTTTTGCCCAGTCCAGTTGAGACGATTACCCGTAGTGGTTGGCCCCGCCAACGACTAACGACTGCTGTTGTCCCATGTCCAAAATCCCAGGTGGTGTCGAACAAGCATCGCTTCAGGGGTTGGAGATGGGAAGAACAGCCCTTTGCAGGGTGTGGCAGTTGTTGGTTTGGTTTGTGGTTGCCGAACATGCATGTTGCAACCAGCGAAGACATCGTGGGCGTCGGCCAACGCAGCAGTGTTTTCCGTATTTGAGTCTTTTTCCCGGGGAAACCCAACAAATCAGCCTCCCCGCCCCTTTTGCGCGGGGCTTCGGGCTGGTTTCAGATTGAAACCGGACCTGGAACCAACCCGCCTCCGATGAAGTGCTGGTTCATGGTGGAGATGTGCGCGGCCAAGACGTCCGTCTGCTCCACTGAGATCTTCTGCTCCGGAAAGCGCAGCAAGCAGTTCAAGGCTTTCCGCTGCTCCTGACCAGCGGAAGCCTTGGCAGATTCACATGGGAGGGTTGCCAAACGGGATTCCTCCAGACTATCCTTCCCCAGACTAACATGGACCCCTCTGGAAGACTTGGGTCCATTAAGGCCGTCTGGGAGCTTCCATGTTAGTGTGAGGGAGTGTAGTTGTTTGCAGGTTCAGTTTAGGTGTTAAGACACAATTTCCAAGAAAGCGAGGGATATGCCGCAGTGTGCTGCATATTGAGTAAGAGGTTCTAGCCCACAGCGTAGGGATTGTAGTGAGGGCCTGTATAGACTCTAAGCATCATGGGCAAACAAAAGTCTGAACCTGTCTCCTATCCAAAGCCTGTTCCCAAGACGAAGCACCCAGGACAACTGCCTTCAACCTCCAACTCCCTGAAATCAGAAGTTAGTTGTCAACCGTTGAGGTCCGTTGTTGGCCGCTGAGCAAAACACATGATCGAGTTGCCAAACAAGTCTTGGTATTGGACTCCCTAAGATCAGTAGGGGTTAACATGAACCGGGTGGATCTCTCTCCCGCTCTGCATATGTATATATATATATATACATTTACTTGTAGCTAATCTTCTTTCGTGGCACGCGGGTGGGTCAAACTTGAAGGTTGGACATTGTCATGTTCGACCATCCCAGCAATCCTGGAGCAGCACACAAGGGGAGCTTTTTGTATGAGGTTCCATCACTTCCAATGGAGATCCAGAAGCCGAACAACATTCCATTGATTCTTAGGGCATATGACAAAGATAGTTTCCGTGAAAAAAAAACAACAACAGGGAGACCAAGTACATCAGGACAGGAAGCCCCAACAAAAACACGTTCCAGGGATGTTCACCGCTTGTCAATTGGGAACGATGATCCAAGTGGTTCTACCTTGATGCCTTCAAAGCAAAACAGGCTCCAAAGACCCGCAATTCAGGTAGTTTGGTCCTACTGTGGATGGACGAAATCCATTTCGCACCAAAGAAAACCTGGGTCCAACAACAACCCCTATGAACCCCAATAAAAGCTACGTTTCTCGTGGCTTCTTTTTGTGGTGCGAGAAGCGGACAGCAAATCGACAGGACCAAACTTCCGGAGCGTTTTTTGCTTCGAGGTTCGGAGCATCGGCAGACAAATGGCCCGAGTCCTCCATATCTCGTGGCCCACCGCAGAGCTCCAGCAGGAACTCGTGCCTCGCTTCGACTCGAAGCGATAAGCATCCGGTCAAACGGATGGAGGTCGTTCGTGGAAGGCGGGATTTTCTCGCTGCGCGATGTGCTGAAGAAAGGAAGCTTCGTGGGTAAGGCCTTAGGGCTGAACCGAGGTTTTTGGCATTAGGGCTAAGACCCTAAGCCTTTGGAGCCCCGAGATGATGTGCCATTCTTGGCCGAACTGGTTCTCGGATTGCTGGCGAGGGATACCTTTTTCCTCTGGGCCGATTTCCCGGAGGTGCAGATGGCATTTTCAGTGGCAGGTTCCGGACACCACCTTGATCTGCCTAAAGCAACCCAAACTTGTGACCTGGACAAGTTCCCCGCTAGGTTGCGAGGTTCCTGAGTATCCGGCTCTTGGACTCTTGAAAAAGGCTTGCAATGGCAATTCACCGAATGGTGGGTCAAAAATAGGGTAAACCCAAAATGGAACCATGGTAAATGGAAACATGGACTAAAACCTGAGGTCCAATTCCTGGTGGTTTAATTTTGACCCATACCCAAATTGAGCCATGCCGACGTCCAGCTGGGGTTTGACGTATGGAAGTTCTGGGCAGAGAAATGGGCCAGTCCCTACGCGCGCCATGGTCTACGTGCTTCAAATACTCTGCGGGCTGGTAGTGGTTTCCCTCCATGTGCGTTTTTGTCCCCCGGAAAAAAATATGAAAATAATTAAAACATGTCCAGCAGTGATAGATTCCCTTTAAAGCCAGCAGGGTAAAATCTAAATAACTATTCCTTAAGCAAATGGAAGTTTCTGTTTTCTGGAGCGAAGGCCACACGGGCATTGCAAGGATTGACACACATGTCAACGCCAAGCTCCGATGCCGGAACCCCGTGGAAACCGGGGGCAACAACCTCCCATTTCTCAACGTGAGTCGGTTCATCAAAACCCGGTACAAAAATGGTCGCAATCCCAGAACCATGCTTCAAGAATTAAGAAGGCGGAATTCCGAAGCTATTTATGGTTGGGACCGTCCCCTACCCTTCTACCCAAATCGGTTTTGAGCAGGTGGCTCACGGTGATTTCTGATCCAAGGATCGCATTTCCACAGAAACCGAATCCACAGCTGCTGCCTTTTTCTGTGCAATTGTGAGTGACTGGGTCCTCCGGATTTGAGAGGTTAGAAGAAGTTGGTACCCTATTTTTTTTCTCTGTAGTCTAATTTAGTAGGGTCCCGAACCCTCGCCAAAGAAAATGGTAAAAAGCCTAAACCCTAAACCCCTAAACCCCTAAACCCTAGGCCCATGGGGAACCCAGTTCACCACCAGAACAGGGCACCTTGTCTTGGCAGTTGAGTTTGGCCTCCCGAGCATCGAGTTGAAAAAATAAACCCACAAAGCTTGGGGCCGAGACAACTCGCTGGTTCTCAGCAGGCAATGAGGGAATGCCCCCTGTAAACCATGCCTTTTGTTTTCATTTCATGGAATCTCCAGGGTCACTCCCAATGCCGGACTCGGTCATTCCCTCTCGCACCAGCAAGACAAGCCTCTTGTTGACCCCGGATCAATCATCCCCTGTTTATTAAAAAAAGGGGTGTCCATTTCTGGTCTTAGTGGGGATTCATCACCTTTCGTGTGGAACACCCCCCTATTGACTCAGATGCCCAGAGGCCACGGGGAAAAACACAAGAAACTTTTTGGGTACTTGAGTTTCAAAGGGACACCCTTCCCCAAAAACAAAGTGAAACAAGGAAGCAACCCGCTGGGCCACCGAGTAATACACCGGGGCTGATTGACTCATTCGCCGACTCCTGCGCCGACTTCGCCGAGGGTCATGGGGGGCAGCGCGCCCGCATCACCCTCCAGAGGCATTGCCAAAGCTGTGGGCCCACCGCTCTGCGGCCTGGGAAGGAAAACCGGAAAGCACGGCCATGGTCAGAAAAACCAGGCTTTGGAGCCCATGTGGTGTCCGATCAAATACCACCCAAAAGAGGGTTCAACCAAAAAGAATGGGGTTTCTTGAAAACCAAGGTGAAAAGAGTAGCCTCAAAAAAAACAACAACATCCCATATTATGTGTCCAGTGAAGTGACACTTTTTGACATCCTCAACATTGTCCTCCTCTCTCCTGCATAGCGTGGAACATGCAAAGGGCCCTCGCTGGCAGAGGAAGCGGTTCTGGGGAATCCCCAGAAAGGTGGGCTGGGCCAACTTGACATCCAGTCTACGAGCACCTCAGCTTCATCCCAAAGATTGACATATGCAGATTCTGGTCAATATTCACTGAACCTTAGTAGGCTCGAAGAGGTTCCAGTCATGGCAACTGGTTCTTTCAACCAGCGTAAACGCCCATGAAAAAATGTCATGTCAGATGCTGCATTGCAGTTTGTCCACCTGGCTCCTATGATCATGTAGTTCCAATACTGGTTCAGAGCCAACTCGCAAGGGGAGCCAGTTGCAGATCATTGCAGCCTGATAGTGATTATTGGTGACTCCTTTCGGTACCACCTTCAGCTCCCCACTTGCGAGCCGGCTCTGAATCAGATTGGTTTTAACTTACCCAACCCTAGCTGTCCGAATCTGTCCGAACCAACGTGTACCAGCTGGAAGGCTCAAACCACGCCCCGCCTCTTCAGCGCCCAGTGCTCCTTGGAGGGGCCAAAGGCCCTCCAGAATGCTGTCTCCTCTGCCTGCAGAACTTCACGCGAGGGGCTGTTAACAAAACCAAAGCCCCCCGGGGTGGTTTTCCTTTGGAAACAAAAACGCTTTAAACACATCTAAGCCCATTTAGCACCAAACATGAAACCTCACGAGAGGAATCCGTCCCCCGAACAACAAATATCATCTTCAAGATACCTGCTGTGTTCGATGTTAGTGGGCAGAGTATTACTTCACACCCAAGCGGTGTGATAATATGTTAAAGGGAAACAGCAACCATGCTCGACGCTGACAACCGCCAGAAACGGTCAACATATTTGCCCAAACAAACAAGGGCATATCCGAACCTATTTTGGGCCGGGGCACGTGATTGTATTTCACTTGAACCCGAAACCGAGACAAGAAGCGGACATGTGAGCATGTGGATCCCTGATTTTCGCTGAGACAATCCCCTGACCTCTCCGCATGTGGCTGTGCCTCAAAAGGAGAACCGCGTTCACAAAGGAAACAAGTTGTCATGTTCAGTGTCCAAATTGGCAAGGCTTCCGTTCGACTCTTTTCATACAATCAGCTTTTCCAAAGCAATAACTTAGCATGTCTTCTTTTGCTTGAGCCAAAAAGAAACAAAACATGTTTTTTTATTACTATATATATATATATATGTGTACAGCGTTGCCAGTCCCCCCCCCCAATGGTCATGGGTCAGACAAGTACCCCCCCCCCTGTGGTTGTGGTCCTGTGGTTGGGTTGTGGTGGTTTAGGGTTGGTTTAGCATTGGTTTAGGGTATGTTTAGGGTGTATTTAGTGTTAGTTTAGGGTTGGTTTAGGGTTGGTTTATGTTGATTTAGGGTTGGTTTAGGTTTAGGGTTTGTTGTCCGCCGACATTGCTCGGCGTGTCGGACACCTAAGAGAGGAT